AGTGACTTAGCCCACTGAGTTTCTAATTAAGTCTAGGCTAGTGACCACACTGACCAGCTGTCACCTAAAAGGTCCGGGTGGAGGGCCAATGGGCGCCACGGGGGCCATGAGAGCAGCTCACAGGGAGAAGAAGGAAACGAGGGACCAGATGCAGGGCCTCTTTCTTTGTTACCATGGCAGTAGGATTTCCCATCCAAAATGTAGCTGGAATGTAGTCGCCAAAGGTCAATGAAGTAAAGTGGGTAGGCTGGTAAGGACTAGCTGACCTTATTAATATCCATCATGCAAGGTTACATTATGTATTCATGAACACATCTTTCACTATCAGCCTAGAATATCTGAGGTCGAGTTCATTTGATTGATTGACATGACAACACCAGAAAAACAAAAACTCAAATTATGATATTTTTAGCAAAAAAAAACAGCAATATAATATTTGAAATAATGTTTCAGGAATGTAATGTGTATAAAAGAGGCACTAGGTAAGATTTTTGATAGATATCATTACTAACGTTATAGATCTGGAAAAGAAATGGCAGACCTGCATGACTGATGTGCATGATCACCCAAGTTAAGGAAAAACTCAGAAATAAAAAAACAATAGCACATTTTTTTTATGATGGTTTTTTTAAATAAAAAAATGTAACAATTTCCTGTAAAATAGCTTGAGTTTTATTTAGTTAGGATAATGCAAGCTTTCACTGAAAACGCATATTGCTGCAAAGAGTCCCTCGTGCGTCCAGAGTATACAAAGGAAACACATGCGCCAAATGAGGGGGAGGGTGAAGGCTCTTATCAGTGAGGTGAAAGATGTCACGGAGGTCATTCCTCACACCCTTTGCAACTCTTGAGTGTACTGAGCAATATTCAAAACCTCTGGGGGATAGGAAGTGATTCACCTACTGATAGTTAATGCCCCTTATTCGTGTAAAGCACAACTTCTTGTACCTTATTGCCATTTTGTTCAAGGCAGAATATGGCAAAGGCTTCTGCATAATGTTTAGATTTTATTATTCACTTGAATGACAAACAAGCTCAATTGTAATGCTCCCTCTGGCAAATAGGTAAAACATTACCACAGACAGAGATGGAGATGAGTGAAGCACAGCAATAAGTGCTCATTATGTATTCATTGCTGTTTCAGAAAGGGTATCTTTTATCATTATCAAGGCTTTGAAGGTTTTACAATTTTATAGCTGTTCTTTAAAGTGGGCTCAGAGATTTCACTGACAACAAGAAAGCCATTTGTGTTCTCTCTGACTTATGGGGTTTTTATCTGCAGAGTGTAACTTTGCAGCAGGTACTGTTCTCTGTGTGGAGTTTGGCACCTTGTGGCAGAAGTGCTGAAGTTAAATCACCCGACAACAGAGCATGATGAGGTCTCGCCACACCTCGTTAGCATAAAGACTTGGCTTGATGACACCTATCTGATTTCACTCTGGGATAGAAAGAGTTTACACGTGTGAGTTCACGGCTTAGTGGCACGTGTAAAAAACATTTACGTACTGGACTGTCCTGTGTGAGTTCCTACACTTCATGTCTTCCTGGAAGATGAGCTTCCCTTTTGTGGTGTTATGTTGGTCACCTTGGCTGGACAGACCAATGACACAGGTGGTACGTTATGCATTACAAATGTGCAGTAGCCTTCCTATCAAGAGAACAATGTTGTACTAAGGTGGATTCACGGTTCGGTCTATTTGCATTTGAGTCCCATTTATTAATTGGAGTGTTAAGAAGTTAAGAAGTGTTAACTTCTTAGGAGTTGTTGCCATGATCTGCTAATTAATATGAGGTATTAGTTCACTCACTCAGTTAGACCAATTTTTACCAGATATTAGATACAGTTTGCAAAATGATTCTGATCACTGTGCAGGCAGGTTCAATGCAGAAAGGCATCAAAGTACATGATTTCTGCCTTTGTTCAGCCCAACAGCTGTGAAGCGAATACACAGGCCTGTGCTCATTAAAACTGGGAGAGCTGGGGGTTGGGAGAAGAAAGGAGGGGTTCAGCATGGCAGGTCTACTTCCTGTGAGAAATATCCTCATCCATGTCATGATGTGCCTCCATTTGTACTTAATAACGAATGTTAAATCAATAATGCTAAAAAGCTGGCACACCTGTTACAGGGCCTCTTAAACAAGACCAGAGCCTGGTCTAATCCCTGTAGCTCATTTCCTGCGTCAAGGCTGCGGCACTGATTTGTGATGCGCAGCGTCGCCTATAAAGAACGCATCGCATAGCTTTAATCCTCTTTATCCAGTGGCTAGGCTGACCTCTGACCTCTAGCGAACATTCACCACACTATAATCTCAACCTTTAGCTTTCCACTTTTCCCTACCAGCCTGGCCTGATTGATTCTCTCCAACCTCCCTTTGTCTCTGTCCTTTGGCTAGTAATTATATTAAGCGTAGCTCAATATAAAAACAAAGCGTACGCTGCTCGGAGGAGGAAGCCACTAACTTGAACACATGGCACTGAGGCGGTGGAGCATGCAGCAATCAGTGCTGTATTGATTATCTTGGTTTGTGATATCTCCTCTTACAACAAACAGCATCATTAACAGTGTGAACCTTAATTACCCAAACAGACTTTAATTGATCAGATATAAATCTTGAAAAGTTAATTAAGCTGACCAAGCAATCAATCGAATCACAGAAAATCACACAGATGGAACTAGTCAATATCTTGTGCTCTTACCTGGCAAATTTGTTTTTAAAACACAGTTAGTCTTGCAAACACTTATTTTGTTGAATATCTGAACTGATTACAGATAGGCTGATTTGACATTATTGTATTGGATGCAGTAAGACAGTGGGGGCTTTGTCATTTGTTATCCTTTCATTTACTGTAGTTATTGCTACAAGGCATCGTGGATCTGTATTTACTGTTCTGTCATCTTCACTCCATAAACCCCAGCCATTTTATCAATTATACTGCACTATCGCCCCCTGCTGGAGACGAATGCTTCATTACAACTACAGGAATTTTCATTAAAATGACATTGGTCCAAGTTTTATATAGCACACATACTGATTGTTAAGATGCAACCTAGTGGTAACAATTTAAACAAAAGGGCATTAAAATAAATTTTTAAAAACTCACCACCCAGAAAAGTGTTTCTTGGGCCAGAGCCTGATACTGATCAATAGTGGACAGTACGCTGAGGATCAGGCAAGATAGTACAATCAAAAACCTGCAAAAGGAACGAGACATAAAACACTCATCTGTGCACCAAGCACAAGAATACATTAATAAATAAATTAATCATTAAAATCAAATAAATCATTAAAAATAAAATAAATAAATAAAAGTTAAACATTAATAGAACAAAGTAACCTCTTCTACATTTTGGAAAACCTGAAGCACCCTCTGCTGGCAAAATCTGTCTATCACACCGGTTCATCTTCAGTAACCACTTTATCCTGGTCACAGTCAGGATGGATCCTGAGCCTATGCCGGGAACACACCCTGGATGGGATGCCAGTTCGTCTCAGGGCACCATGCGGACACCTACTCACACCTAGTCTCAATTTAGCATAACCAATCCACCTCCAAGCATGTTTTTGGGAGATGCGAGGAAACCGGCGAACCCAGAAGGAACCCATGTGGACATGTGGAGAACATGCACTGTAGCTAAACACACACAGTAACTCGAGCTCAGTATTAAAAAAGGGGCCCTGAAGATGAGGCGGATACACTACCCGCTCCACCACCATGCCGCCGCTCACACCCATCAGAACACTGTATTTTATCATATTGATATTTTTTCCTAATATTTTAGTGTTCGACATGTCTTATTAAATTTGTCCACTAGGTGGGAACATTGTATCAGAGTAGGAATATCACTGAACAGTGCTGGCCAAGCACTTGGAATTCACATCCTTGCAAAAAAAAAAGCACAGTGGCGTAGCATTTTAGCTTTAGATATTCATAATCTCATAGAAATAAGAATACACCTCAGCGATTATATCTTTGAAAATCTGAGTACAATTTCTCTAATTCAGGGAAAGAGTTTTTGTACACTCAAGAGTTTAAGTGGTAGTTAGCAAATGTTCCAGAGAGAGTTGCTAGCAAGGTAGCCATTTATTTAGCCAACTCAAGTGTACATACATACTTTGGCATGAAATGTCACTAAAAAGAGAACATCCCATTCTCTTATTGTAACTTGGCTTATTAGCTGATGGAAACGATGTTCCTTTACGCTGTTCTTCGGCTTCTGTGTCTTTCTGATAGGGTGGGGAGCTCGACAGAGTAGAGCTGAGCTGCTGCTCTTCTAAATTAACAGACGATTAGATTATGTTAGGTGTTTGGGCAACATGCAAGGATGTATGTATGCTGGACGGAGACCTCAGGGCAAACCCAGGACCTGCTGGAAAGAATATATCTCACACTTGGCTTGGGAAAGTTTGGGGATCTCCCAGGAGGAGCTGGAATGTGTGGCTGGAGATAGATGGACCGTCTCAGCCTGTTTCCACTGTGACTTTCACCAGGAAAAAAGGTAGGAAAACATATGAATGAATAAATGAATGAACGAATAGCACACTTAGCTGAACCTGACACAGGGAACAGGAATGCACATAGTTAAATTTGCAATTTTATCATAAGCTCATTTGAATCCTCAAACTTCCTGCTTGTAGCCATTCCTCAGTACTAAAACTGCATACATTTGCAGAGCATTAGAGCAGATGTTTGAAGGCAAACACAAGTTTTCGGTATTGAAATGTGTTCCCGTAGCAGAAAGTATCATCATTAGTTTAGTTTGGCAATCAGTCAGTTACTTAAGTAGATAACATACACCTTGCTTAGCCCCCACAATTACACCATTAACCATACAAAAATAACAATTCACAAGAAATCTTATCCGAATGGATTGAATGTGTTCTAACAGATAGGACTTCTTAATTCTATTAAGAATACAGCAATTGGGATACAGCATTTTTTTCTGAATTTTCTATTACTTCTATATTTCTTCAGTCGCACTCAGTAGTTTGAATATGGGTCCCTGGAAGACTAGTGGTTAGGCCACGATGCTCTCACTGCTGCGGCCTGGGTTCGATTCCCAGCCAGGGAACCTACCCCAGCACACGTCAGTGTACTCCCAGTACCAGTCCCAAGCTCGCATAAAATTGAGGCAGGTTGTGTCAGGAAGGGCATCCAGTGTAAAAACTGTGCCAAATTCAAATATGCAAACCAATGATCCGCTGTGGTGACCCCTAACAGGAGCAGCCGAAATAAGAACACCATTCGGTAGTTTGAATAACACTGATTCACAATTCTGTTTAAGTTCATTTAAAACCGTTTAATACACTTGAAGACTCACTAAACCTAGTGATGTATCATCAAGTGTTTTGCTAATGAGTCGTTCTGTTCAAGGGAGTCATTTCACAAGGACAAATGAACTTTTGTCATTTACACACCACAACAAGCATAATCTTGATAAGCTTAAACTTGTCATCATTTCTTTGTGCTGTCGAGGCTCCACAAACAACAAAGGTGAAATGCAGTATATATAATTTTTTGCTTAAATCCATCTTATCTTCAGTCTTATTTTCTATCATCATCTCAGTCATAGTTAATGAACTGAACATCTCCCTTTAGACTGTTGGATGCTAGACATGCCATAAAAACAAAAACAAAAAAACAGTATAAAACCTGTCAGTGTGTACTACTTTGTGGCTGAGAGGTTGACATTTTACCTGACACAACACTGAGCAGTGAATCAATTAAAAAAAATAAATAAATAGTTCAAAAGAAACGGCACCTCACAGCCTCACGGGTCCGTAGTTCGAGCCTGAGCTCATGTTACTCTCTGTAAAAAATTACTAACCCTAACTCATGTTTTCCGATTTCCGACACCTCGCAAAAACAAGCAAGTAGGTGGATTAGCTATGCTCAATGTGTGTGTGTGTGTGTGTGTGCATGATGCCCCGTCATGGACTGGCATCCAATCTAGGGTGTATTCGCGCGTCTTGCCCAGGGTTCATAACTCCTATCACTGTGGCACTGTGACTCACTATCACCACCTACTGGACCAAACTTTCTTTGAGAAACTTCAAACACTGCTTATATCGATTTATGACCAGCTTCCTTGTCAAATTATGCTCTATAAAAATTGGTCTTGTTTAATGAACAGTTCTACTAAGAATGACTACACTTAAAAAGGTCAAATATGATCATATGCATGTACATGAAAGGTTGCTGACAGCTGAGCAATGTCAAGGACAGTCCTCTGGCCCAGGTCTTTACCTGACGTCAGACCCTCTGCTCACAAGATCTCAGATATGAAGGCTTTGAGATAATAAAAATCTATAATAAGTACACTGTGCATGCTGTAAAACAGCAAACAGCAAAAATATAAAAACGGTACGTTTAAAAAATCATTAGAGGGAACAGAACACTATAACGCTAACATTACAGAATGTCCTAATTAATTAAATCTTCTAATGAGCCACCCTGGGATCATCTAAAATGCTACCACTTATATGAATTAAACTTTAATATGTTTGATCCATGTGTGTTTATGTGTGTGTGTGTGTGTGTGTGTGTGTGTTTAAAGTGTCAGTGACCAATTTCTGAGCTTATCTACTAAGTGTAAAGTCCAGGTGAGCTTGAAAACACAGGGTTGGAGGTTAAACACATCACTGGGTTGCTCTCCTACAAGGTCAACTGCATGACTGAATGGCTGGACCAACAAAAAAACCCGGCTTCAAGTCCCCCATATGCACGATAAAACTGTTTTCTTTATTGAGAGATAAGAGAGTTAGTTTTACCTTGAGCAGCTATGCTATTATTCAGACAAGGCCACACTGTGCAAACTCCACTGTTTTCTCTATGCTAATCCTCTGAAAAACCTCTGTATATTAACAGACAGGCCAGGCAGATCATTTAGAATGTATTAGATAAACAGTACCAGCCATTTAATGGACCTGGAGAACATCTAAATGCACAACAAGGTTAGAAAACCCTGCACTGAAGCTATTACATACATTTTTGTGGACTTATTTAATTTGATTCACTTGGATCTATGGATTGATGTTAACTATAAAATAACTGTGAGATAATTGTTCTAGACAGCGAAACTGTAATTGGATAGAAGCTCTAGAATGACCATTTCTACCTCACACTTTTTGTTTTCAGTCAACATCAGGGAGGTGTTTTGTACAGCATGTCAGCCAACATGTAAACGCCTCATTCATGCTTTTACAAGAAATTACCAACCAGCAAAACACAACCAAAGAACAGACAGCATGCAGCACAGCTGCTGTTATGACAAAAGAAGGCCAGCTGTTAGCTGTCAGCGCTGCCACACAGGGAGGGGCCAGAGACGTAAGGAAACACAGCCTATTGGGAAATGGCTGTCTGTCAAAAGTTTCATCTTCATCAGTCATTATTTATCGTAATCAGTGCATGAGCTTTTACGGCCTTCAGAAGAGCTTTTCAATACAAGAACGACCTGCAGTTACAACTGAAACGACAAAAACAGCCTGCAAAAACGACGGTTTTATATGAATAATACATCTGTGCTTCAGTGAAACCAGCAGAGCTCAGCAAAAACTGCTCATTCTAATTGGTACTAAAAATAAAGCTGAAGCAGGCTGAGTAACTAACAAGGTTTTTAAATAAATGTGATGTCACAGCACAATATATCACTTGTTAATCTTCGCTGTGACGCTGACCGTAGATTGTGATGTGCAAAAGTGTCCTCGTTAAATGAAAATCACTAAGCCTGTTGTGTGCTGCAAGCATCCTGCATCCTCGTGGGAGGGAAAGTGAATCTTTCATTGTCACCAAGGTGAGTGGACATTTTTCTTTCTTTCTGTCAATGTCCACATGGGTTTCCTCTGGCTTATCTGGTTTCCACGCTGCTAGGGTGGACTGCTTATGATAAATCGTTCCTAGGCGTGAAGGAGTGTATGCATTACACGCCTCCCCCACCCACACCCCAATCCAAGGTGTATTTCCCAAGCTTCGGATCCACTGTGACTCTCCTGAAGAGATTAATGTAGATGAATGAATGAAAAATAGCCCAACTTAGTAAATTAGTAAGAGGTAAGAGCACTGAGTCAGCCGTTGTACATGACTGATGACTGTGGAGCAGCTGAGGATTAAGGGCCTTGCTGAAAGATTCAACAGTGGCAGTCTGGCAGCAGAGGGATTTGAATTCACAACCCTTACCATTGACTTATCACCTACACACAACTACAAAAAGGAGTCGCTTTTATCCGGCCAGTGATATGGACTCCTTCCATACATCTGATGCTGTTCTATTCATGAATTACATAACTGATATTTAATGCCTCTCATGCATGCCTCTCAGGTTATTGGTTGAGGTGTTGTCTATTATAATAGACATGTTGTAACTGTGTTATCTTATTCAGCTTGTCCATTCCCTATCTTGCCTTCTGGCTCTCTGTACGAGCCTCATATGACAACAGCAAACATTCTACTCTGTCTTCTGGCACTCAGTCTTACAGGTGATCATAAACAATGTGCTAGAAACACATGTACATAACAGAACGTGCACATGTGTGCATACACTATGACGCAGGCACACACATAAAGACATGCATGCAAACACAGATTAGTCATGCTGTAATGATAAGTGCAGTTCATCCCCCTACACAAGTGGCTTTGGGGCGGTTGGAGCAGAGATAAGTAAGTGCACATCTCAGCTTGCCTTGCTTGCCTGCCTCTTATTCATACACCCTCATACAAGAGAAAAGGTTACAATATAGCCATCAGTCCAAAACTGACAGCTAACTGAATGAACAATATTACGAACAGGTTAAAACACCGTGCTTTCCCGTGCTGATAGTCTCTAATACTTCTTACAGGTGCATGATCTGGTTTAATACAATGGCAACGACTAATGACATGACCAGCTTTCTTTCCTTGCACTTTCTCTCCCTGCTTCCTGTTTTCTCCTCCAAACCTCCAAACCTCCAAATCCAGGCTTTGACATTTTAGGAACAAAAATGACCAGATCTTTGCAGGCTTGGAGAGCATAATGAACTTCTATTGGACCTAGCATGCACATATATAGGTTATAGAAGTCAGTACTACTTATTGCATGATATTTTGAAAAGTTTTTTGGTGAATGACTTGAAATATTTTAAATATATATGTAGCATCTGTGAGCTCAGAGAGATTGTAATAACTCAGTCTGCCTGTTTATCTTTCCATAAACAACATAGATGAAACCTACACTTGAAAAGCAATCTTGTAAAAGCCCATGTGCTCACTGGATGTGTTATGTATGCAGCTTAGTACACAGAAGGTACACTAACACTCCCAAACTCCCCCTCTATCGCTACCCAGCAGCAGTAGGTCACGAGGTCAGCAGGCTTCTGGGCTCCAGAGAGCGACCGTGCTGCTGCCAAGTTTAGCAGCCCATTATCACCTCCTCTCCTGCTAGGGACAGAGAACATGACAGGCAGCTGGTGCCTTCATTCTGCGCATTCCTCTCACACTGTCTTCTGCTGAACCTGAAAACAAGACTTCTCACACCGTGAGTGCAATCTCCACTCTTAGGAATCTCTCCTGATAGTCAACACTCACGTCATGGACCAACTGCAGGAGTGTCGTGCTTAATATTGGTTTATTAATTCCCTCCCATTCTTCGTGACCTTGATTTCTGTGCCACTCATGTGAACAAAGACATTTTTGATTCACAATATGCTGCTGAGAAAGATGTTAAAACCACACAACTGCGACTAAATCCACTTCAGTGTATTCTCCTCTTAAACAATACCCACACCCCTTAAGTATGAAATTATGATGACATATTATTATTAGTATAAGTTGTTACATCGTAATATCCCTTTTCGGATGTCTTTCTGTGACATCATTAATGTATGATATTACATCATAATACCAACAAAATCATGTAAGATATCTAACAGATTACATCACAGTACCACTTTCTGCTGTCATTTTGGCTTTTCTCAGCAGTTCTCAGCAGTTCCTGAACAATGTATTATAATTACAATGTAGCAATAGAACTAGAATACTCAACAAATGTAGCAGTTCTAGAACACTCATCAAATGTAGCAGTTCTAGAACACTCATCAA